TGATTCTTTATAATGTTCCCACACTGATTTCTTGTTTGCCGGCATGCTGACCCTGTAATGGTAATGTTTTCATTTAAAAATCTGGAGATTAAAATGGCGAATCATCACCACAAGAGAGGTTAGGGTTGGAGTGATTTTGATTCCTGAGTTACAAGGGGCTATAAATATACAATTTTCAGGGCTTTTATCACGGGGATAAAAGTGGTTGAGGCCCCGGGGCTCAATTTAACAGCAAGTACACCTGGTGACACTTACATGGCAAAATACCAGGCCGGGCTTGAGTCGCCTTTTCGCCCACCTTCGCCTCCGCCTCGCCTCTCTTGTTTCCCGCCGACGCCGCACGAGCGCGCTGCTTCTGCCGCCACCAAAAGAAGACGACTCCCGCGCCGATTTAAAAAAAAAAATTTCGGTCATATCGATAAAAATACGAGTTTTTATCGTGAGGAATAGGTAAAATATGCTGTAAACGGTGGGAATTTGTGTGCTGGGTGGAACAAATGTGATTTTGCCCTCCGATACGTATATCAGGTTGAAACAAATAAAAAATGCTGAATATTCCCACTTTTCGGGAATCTTTGGAAATGTTCCCGGGAATTTACTGTGAACGTTCCCCAAAATGATCGTTCCCGGGAAATTTAGAACACTAGGGTAAATGATGAGAAATTGCGATGGACGTGTAGACAGGCCCGCTCGGCTATCTGGCTGTTGTCTGATAAAATTCAGACCGTTTCCAGCCGCGCCACCCTAAAGCAGACGGGCGCGTGCGGGGCTGCCTGTGGGCGCATCCCGTTTGCGCCGCGTCTACCTGAGTGGCTCACGAAAGTGACCATTTGCGGCCAGCGTGTACGGTGGGTGGCATCACCCTTGGACTCGTCTTTCGACTTCTATAGTGAGTGCGTTTTACTAGTGCACGCCCGTTTTCGGTGACGGGAAGGAAAAGTGACGTTTTACTACTACACCTGTGTTTTATTTTAAACAAAGTCACCACGCTTGTCTGTCAAAAGTTATTAAAATTAAGATATAGAGTGATGTACATGATTATGGGGGTGACTGAGGGATGATTCTGGGACTATGGAGGGAGGTGGTGGTGCTGATGTTGCTGGTGGAGATGTGCTTGATGTTGAAGGTTTGAAGGTTGTTGCTGAAGGTTGGCCTGTTGATGATGCATAGTGCGATTCCCGCGGTCCATGGGCACATGCACATAGACTGCTACGGGCAGTGTGGTGACGCGTGGGCTCTTGCATGCCAGCGACACATGTTGGAAGAACGCGTGCCGTGGAGCACTGCAAAGTACAAAACACTGATGAGAGACAATTTCCACAGCACACGCAGATGAAACCTTACGAACTATTTTGAGCATACATAATACAAGGTAATTTAGTTTGTTTTGAAGAAACAGTTAGTTAAGATGTATTGTTTTCACTAATGTATGTTCAAAATACTTTATTGGAACAAGCTACCTTCCTAGTTTGTTATGAAGAAACAGTTAGTTCAGAAGTATTCTCTTCATAAGCCTATGTATGCTCAAAATACTTTGTTACAACAAGCAACCTTGCTTTGTAAGGCCCAAAATAGTTTGTAAGGTTTTCAGAGTGCATGAGCCTTTGGGCGTACCTATGCGTTGACCCGTCGTGGAGGTGCTGCTGGTTTTGGTGGAGGAGGGCGGGGAGAAGTCCTGAGCCGAAGATAAGTGTAACGGAGATTGTAATAAACGCGCACTTTGGGAATTCTGACATTTTTCACTTCAAAAGAGACAGACAGATTATTTGACGTTATTCTTCATCAATGGTCAACAACTCATGTCAAGGGAGGCATAGAGCCATTGGGACAGGGCTACAAGTGTTTCATTGCGATGAGATTTCCTATACAGGGCCCCAAAACAGCCAGGGCTAAAGAGAGTGACAAGCGACATCGTATTCAAACCATCATGACAAACTTCACATTCTAACAGATGTGACAGACCCTACACATAATGCCAGTTAACCAGGGACCGATTATAAGACGTTATTCTTCATCAATGGTCAACAGGTCATGTCAAGGGAGGCATGGGGGACGTGGGCGTGGGACGGGAGGCGTGGGACAGGGCTACACGTGTTTCATTGCGATGAGATTTCCTATAAAGCGCCCCAAAACAGCCAGGAGAAGCCAGCAAAGAGAGTGACATTGTATTCAAACAGTCACATTCTAACACAAATCACAGCCCCAGACGCAACGACACCTAACCTTAAACTTGCACGGATTGCGACCACTGAAACACACAAGTGCACTGTGTCAGGTGCCAAAAGGGGTGCTAGAGGGGCGATACACTAGGCAGGGACTTACTTATTGTGGCTGAGCTGGCTGGACCTGGCAAATAGTAGGCAAGGCAAGACAAGAGTGAAATCTAAATTTCATGATCTTACCTCCAAAGGTCGGTCCATGGCTGTGAACGCTTTCTAGATTATCCAGGGTTTGAAGAGGAGTGGAGCTTTTGTTCTTCCTCCCCGCCGCGCAATCAGCTGTCGGCGTCAGCTGTTTATGACGTCTTCTGCTTCTGTTATTGTTTTGTAGCAGACCTGCAGAGCGATTCTCACGTTTCGGGGTAGTTTTGGCGTCGCTGATTTGCCGAAAGTGAGAAATATTCAATTAAGTTTTTCTGATTATTGGGGTCCTGGATGATACTTGAGTTATGGCAATGGTATTTATAGTAAAGACCTTGTACTACCTTCCTAAAAACATGAGCCATAAGGTATTCCTATACGTTTTAATGGGTGTTTTGATCACGGAAATTACGTTATCACGGAAGTTACAAAGTGTGAAAATCGGCTTTAACGGCTGACTCCGGCTTGCTGTGGCTCAAAAGTCGTTCCAGGGTCAAATGATACTCTAAGCCCGACATTCAAGCGGAAAAATTTTTCACCTAGTGCTGCTGCAACATTGGGTAAAGGGTGCCACGGAAGTTACAGGTAATTGTTGATACACGCCATTTTATAATGCTCTAGCCCGCTTTGAGACCGTGTACAGCATCTTACATTTCTGCGACCCATGCAATTATATCCCAGGGACTCCACTTTGATGGCTTGTGTCATGGAAAGTTAAAAGTTGGGCTTGGCGAGAAGTCCAGAGCTGCCTTTTCGAAATTTGTGTAGTGAAATTGAACATACGGTGGAACATTTTTCGTTGCAGCACAAGTACCTTTGAAAGAAGTCTGGCGTATTGGTCTTCAGTTGAAATTAGCTCGAGACATGCCAAGCTTCGAATCCCCATCGACAGTTGGCAGCATTTTCGAACTACACCGCCACACTGGGGGTGGAAAGTTCGAGTATGTTCTCTTTGGACAATCACGGAAGTTACATTTAGGGTATTCCAAACGCTACGTAGACCAATCCAACGAACGTTAACTCTTCGAAATGTGTGCGTTTAGTAGGCAATGGCCCTCCCTAACATCAGAAACAAACCCCATGTCGATATCTGCGCTCGTTTGGGCACAGGAGTCAGAAGAAACGAAACTACCCCGAAACGTGA